CTCCGCCGCACCGTCCCGCTGGTGCCCATCCTGGTCCTGGTCCTGGCACGCGGAGCACGAGCACGCGGAGCCTAGAGCCGTCACCAAGTGCCGACGGCTTTCACTGTCATTGCCGCGCGGCTAGGCCAGGCGCACCGAGGCACGCCGACGCACGCCGACGCACGCCACGAGCAGCAGCAGCGCGTCGTTATTTTGCCAGCAGCTTCCAAGCAGAGCAGCTTCCAGCTTCGACGCCGCGAGCAGCCCGCCGGGCCGGGCGGGGCGGGGCGGGGCGGAGTCGCGCTTTGTGCTCGTTCCGTTTTGGGTGAATCACCCACGGATCGGGATGGGGGCGTCGAGTCGAGTCGGGACCCACGAACCGCCCCGCTCCGCAGCTCCGCGGCTCCGCGGGCCAAGGTCGCGGCCACGACACCGCGGCGTTGACGGCGTGCGATATGGTGCGCGATGCGCGATGCGCCCACCAACTAATTAGAGAGCCACGCCAGCCGAGAGTCGTTTTCGTCGCTGTCTGTCTCTCTCGCACTGAAAGGGGACGCCCGTGGGTGCGGCAGAGACAGAGCAGCCAGCAGCCGAGCGGTTCAGGAGAGTCGTTTCGGCGCTCTGTCTCTCTCGCACTCGTGGACCTCTCCGACAGGGTGTGAGAGAGACAGAGCGACAAACCGCTCTTCTGAATCACTCGGCAGAACGGCGAGAGACAAAGACGGCGGCAAAGACGAGGGCCAACGGGAGCGAGGGTTAGCCGGGCACTGCAGCCTGATTCCGAGGGTCGTTTTCGTCGCTCTGTCTCTCTCGCGCCTGTACGGGACGCCCCATGAGTGCGAAAGGGACAGCGCGACGATAACGACTCTCGGAATCAGGCTGCTGGTTGTGGTCCAGGCCGCTCCAAGTCAAAGGGCGCCAGGCGCCACGGGCACCGACTAGCACCGAGGGGAGGGCATGCATCAAAGCGAGCCTCTCCAGATAAATTCAAGGAAACTGTTTCAGGTGGAGGCTAATGGGGACCATCAAACAGTTTGCAGAAATTATCCCACACATAACAGATGATGTGTGGAGAAAGTGGCGTGTAGAAGTGTCGACCACTGCGAGAAATAACATTGGTCTGCATCTGATACAAGGCCTGGCTTACACAGATAAGAATACAGGCAAACGTAAAACTGATTAGATGGCTTCAGTGGTCTGCTGACACAGTCTGATCGCAGGAGAGTCAAGGTGAACACTATTCAAGTGCCGAGCCACTCCAAACCAGGATGTTTATCCAAAAAATTTACCGTGACAAAAAATAAAAAAGCTTGTCATAATCAATACAACAGAACACAATCAAAACTACGGTGAACTTGATTGACACTTGCTCTGTGCATTCAAAACATTTGGCGGAAAAGTAAAATTTTAAAAAAATGATTGCGTAGAAGAAATTGTTGCTGCACAAGATTTCCAGCACAGAGTAGAAAATTTAATCTTTTGAGGAATTTTATAAATTGGATATGATCAAAACTTGTCGGTCAAATATGAAATGTCACTTAAACAAGACCGCTTAAAAAACAACAACAACAAAACTACTACAAATTGATAACCAGACTTGGAGGATTGTCGCTTGTTTGACATTGAAAATAGGTAAGCCTGTTTGAAAGCAACGCATTTTCGCCCCCTTTCGTACTCAGTGCCATCTCGTCTTACATCCTCGCAAGTCTCCCGCCCGCAATGCCCGCATGCAGAAGTTAGGTTAAGCTGCTACCTTAAGCGGTCCACCTGCCGGGCGGTGCACAGTCCTCACAGCGGCAAGCGCGAAGCGGCAAGTTATTCGGAAAATGATCCCGCGGAGGGAAGAGAGTCGCTTGGCGCTCACTGTCGTTGCCCAGCGTTGCACCGATCGCACCGAGCGCCGCCGAGGGCGCACAAAGAACACACTCGCACTCGCCTTCGCTCCAAAACACCTCCACTTCGTATCAGCTGATCCACTGGCGGGAGCGGCAGCGCGGCAAGGCGCGCGGCGCGCGGCAAGGCAGCGCCGGGCCTCCGCACGGGCGGCGCGGTACGGCGCGGCAGCCGCTGCAGCTGCGGCCGCGGGGACAGTGGCGGTGGCGGTGGGGCTGCTCGGCCTCGGCCTCGGCTAGCTTGGGCAGGTTGCGGATCGCGGTCGCGGATCGCGCTGACCAGGCACACACGCGTGATTCAGGCTTCAGGCCAGGGAGGAGGTTGCGCACAGACGGAGCTGCAGTCGCGGTGTGACGCGCCGTCTCTCTCGTCCCCGACTCCCTGGGGATGCACGTTGCCGTCAACTTGTTGCACGCGACTCGGCGGCCCCCGCGGCCCTCGGCCCCACGACTCGGCGGCCGCGCGTCGCGCGTTCGGGGGACTTCGCCTAGCTTCGCATTCACTTCGTCGCTGTTCGGCTCCGCTCCGTCCGATTCGCCGGCCCCCGACAGCTCCGACAGACAGGCCACCGACTGGACCCCTTGGCGCGGCTCGCCGCGGCCCGGCACGAAGGGCGCAACAGAGAAGGATACGCCACGCCGCGCGGGCCAAGCCGCCAAGCCGTGCTTGATGGTCTCTCCCTTCTCTCTCTCTCTTTCAAGAGCCCCCGCGCGGCAGTACTGCTAGCGCCACCTGTCGGCCGGCAGCGCAACTGCGACGCCGCGGCAGGTGCTTGCACTGCTTGCAACCCTCCCGTGATTGCCGATGTGCGCTTCGCCCACCTGCAGACCAATTTTAAGGACCCTGTTTAAGGCGAACAACGCGTCAAAGGCACCTTTCTCCGCTGACTTTCGTAACTGGAGTTCACAGTGATGAGAGGAAAGGCCGACAGGTCCGTCTTGTCGCAAGCCGACAGCGATAGGGATAGGCCCAGCCAGACCCGGCAAGACAGCAAACCGCTTGCTGTTGCGTACATTGCCGGGCGACCCAGCAGATAATTCTGTTTTCTCGGAAAAGTTCTGCCACACCCCCTGTGGCCCGCTGTGGCCTGCATCGCTTGTTCCTTGCGACGTTCAAAGGGACCGGCTCTATTTTTAACGCCTCAAGCGCTGCACGCTGCACCGGTTCCGCCCTTCCCTTGTCCTGTTTACGTTAGCGCTGCTGCTCGCTAGACCCACTGGCGCCTGGTGCGCACTCACTGTAAACCCTCCCCCCATTCAGTATCTTCGGAGAGGTGAGTCGAAAGGCGCGGTTTGATTGTTTTCTGAGATGAAACAGCATCGCACCCAAGTTCCTCACGGACTGGTCGGCGAGCGCGGGGTAGTGACGATCCCCGCGCGGTGTCTCTGCTCGGATGGGGTATCGCCGTGCTGCAGCGGCGCGGCGGCGCGCTGCTCGAGTCGAATGGGATGCCTACCTCCCCGGCTGGCCTCTCACCCTCTCACCTACCTCGACCCTCGATTCGAGAAGACGAGTGGGCGGGCTGCGTCGCAAGCTGCGGTCCGGCGTGCATGGCAAGCGCATGTGTGCGTGTGTTTGGGTTGTGTTCGTGTGGATGACCCACCCACGCTTCCTACACATCACTCCTGATCACGCTGTCCTAGTTACGATCTACCGACTAATGACTGGGGAGGCATACAGGGTAAGAAGGGAACACGTTTTGACAACAAGGGGAATAAAAATATATATATTTATACCGACGGTATAGTTACATTAAGGCACATTCAAAACACACGTGTCACAAAACTGACATGCAAAACAAAATGAAAATGTGTTACCGGGCATTCAGGAAAATAAGATCATTGATAGTTCATCTCAACTACGATACTAAAACAGAACAGCAAAGGAAAAAAATAATAAATATTTAAAAGCATCCTAAGACGTTTCATGCAACAGAACAATGGCAAAGTAAATGCACTCCAAATTGAGCTACGGCCTAAGGCGCCTACGGCGGGCACGCTGGCGCTAGCTGCCGGCAGGGCACGGCGATGGCGGTCACATTCCCGTGTCTGGATTCTGGAACTTTATGGCAACGAATGACGAGATGACAAGCACAACGGTTCGAGGGCGGCCTTCAGGGTGTGGCACGCCCCGCCCCAAATATCAAGATAAACTATTAAATTTGAACAAATGCAAAGGTAACGTCCGCAGCCGACACAAATCAATAATAAAAACAATTTCATCACAAGAAAAATATCTGATAGTAAAACCCATCATTTGACGGTCATATTATCTATAACAATAAGTTCATTTGGCACTGCATTGTATGTTTTACTGTACATATGGACAAATATATTTCACAGGATACTTTGTACAAGAGCAATTAATGACAACGGTACATGACTAAAACTGAGGTCTCTACGCTTAGTGACTTTTCACACACTGGGGAATGCCGTCGAGACATCGCAGTGGGGCTACGACTACATCAGAATACAGTACGAACGTATTTTCACAGGGTAAAAGGAAAGTAAATGCCAGCTAGCGTTCCCCTAACGGGTTAGTAGACAAAACACACACACACTCGCACACGACAGACTAAACTCGTGCAAGAAGGAGAGATGCAAAGGGTCGTAAAAGTTAAAGTGTGCGACAATGTGATTGCGCGACATTGTCACGCAGGCTGATCACTATGCATGTGGGGCGGTAACGGGCGGGGCCGGGCGGGGCTAAGTGTAGCTGCGGCACTGCAAGGCCCGCCGCGGCATCGCCACACGGTGCACACGGCGTCGCCGGCCAGCCCGGCCAGCCCGGCCACGCCCGCCACCGCGTCGACCGGCCGCAGCAGAGGGCTCGGTGACCATGCTGCAGGCGTTTAGCGCGTTTAGGGGGAACAGCCGTGCCTGAGACGCTTAACTGATGAGCAAGAAGGCGACGAGCGTCAGGCAAGCCAGCAGGATGCCTAGCGCGGTGACGAAGTCAGCGTCGGCAAGCTTGGCCGCGCATGCCAGGCCGTACGAGCAAGCGATCAACACGGATTCAGTATCCCGGTACCATGGAGCCGGCGATGTCGACCTGGACCTGCAGGCGAGGCCCTCACCTGCAGGGCGAACGGCCGCGGGGGCAGCCGCAGCGCCGCGGTGCAGGGGCAGGCTGGGGGCGGCGGCGGGGGCGGGCGGCGCGGGGGCGGCGGCCGCGGCGCCGGCTGAGGGTATGCGCGTGTTGCTCAAGAGGGCGGCAACCTCCTTGTCGTCCTCATCCCGATCACTGCTGTCCGAGCTTTCTTGCGGTGCTTTGGGGCTGTCCACTGCACTGTCCACTGCACTATCAGCTGGCCTTTCTACCACACTGTCCGCAGCACTGCACACTGAAGTGCTCACAGCCTGCGTCCTCTCCACGGCAGGTTCCACCACGGCGACGGCGTTGTGGACAGGGGAGCGCGTCGCGCGGGGCGCGGCCTCGGGCCGTGGCTGCGCCCTCGACTGCGGCGTGGGAGGGGGCGACGTCAGGGACGGTGATGTCAGGGACGGCGACGTCAGAGACGGCCGGCGCCGACGCCAGGGCACGGCGTCGTCGACTTCCGCCTCGGCCGACGCCGCGGCACGGGGCCGCTCCAGGGAGTTGGCGGCGCTGCTTGTGGGCCCGTCCACGGAGTCCACCGCGTCGGACAGCTGGGGAGACGACGTGGAGGCGTCGTCCGCGTGCCGCAGGAACACCTTGTTGGCGGGGGGCGGCTTGGACGTGACCTTGGAGTGGTGCCGCTGGTTCCACATCTGCACGCGAGCCGACACGGGCAACAGGTCATCGTCGCCGTCGCCGGACTCGACGCTGGAAGGCCCATCGCTGCTGAGGGTGCGGCTGGTTTGGCGGGGCCGCGGGCTGGGAGACAACCTGCTGGCCGAGGGCTCGCGGCTGCTCTGAGACTGGGTCTCCGCCGCGGCCAATGCCCGGCGGCTCGGGCTGGGCGACAGCTTGGTGGCGGACGGCTCGCGGCTGCTCTGCGAGTCCACCACGGTCCGTCGCGCGGGGCTGGGAGACAGCTTCGTCGCCGACGGTTCTCGACTGGCGTGCGACGCACGCCGCCCCGAGGGGCTGGGCGACAGCTGTGGCGCCGACGGTTCGCGACTGGAAGGTGGGTCAGTAGGCGACGGCTGGTCCGCGAGCGACACCGACACTGCGCGACGCGGGGGGCTGGGCGACGTCCTGGACATGGACGCCTCGCCGCTGCTTCCCGGAGCGTTGCGCCGTGAGGGGCTGGGCGACGTCCTGCACCTGGACGCCTCTCCGCTGCTCCCCGGAGCGTTGCGCCGCGAGGGGCTGGGCGACGTGCGGGTGGCGGATGAAGTGGATGAGGCGGACGGGGCCTCGGTCACGTTGCGTCGAGAAGGCTTCGGGGACAGCATCTCGGTGAGCTGCTGCAGGGACTCCATCTGGGTGCGGGCCGTCTCGCTAAGCTCGAGGATGCGCGCATGGTCCTGGGCTCGGTCCGAGTCCGTCGTCGGCGACGGCGACCGCGCCGCCTCCCTGTCCCTGTCCACGCACCCCGAGCGGCACCGCGCCAGCGCAACCACCTCCTCCTTCAGCTGGCGGTTCTTCTCCTCGGGCGAGATCTTGGCCTCGGTGGGCGCGTCCGCCTTGGTGGACCGCTTCTTCGCCTTGGGCGCCCTGTCCCGGCCTCCGGCTGGCGCCCCGGCCCCCAGCTCCTCGATCTCGCGGCCCAGCTTGGCACTCGTTTCGCGAGCCTCCTTGGCCATCTCGTCCAGCAGGCTGTCCAGGTTGCTGTCCAGGTTGCTGTCCACGGACATGGACTTGGAGGGCGACGAACTCTCTTCCCGGTCCGAAGACGCGCCACTGAGCCCCCCTCTGGGACTGGGCCTTGGCTGCGGCCGCTGCTGCAGGTCCAGCACACTGTCCGTCAGGGTCTCGGTGCTCGTGGCCGCAGCGTCGCCGTAGCAGCTCGACGCGCGCGGCGTCGCGTCGTTGTCCGCGCCGTCGGTCCTCTTCCTCTGCTGGGCCGCCTTGCGGGCCTGCACCTTTTGCGCCACCTGCAGCACGGCGGCCAGGTCGGACACGCTCTGCGCCTTCTCGAAGTCCTGCTTCTCCGTCCCCGGCGGCCTGGGCTCGGGCGCGTGCAGAGGGTTGTCCAGCATGTCGACCTCGCGCTGGATCAGGCTGAAGATGTTGGCGGACAGCGAGCGCACGGCGCGCTTCGTCCTGGCTGCGGTGGGCGCCTCACTGGGCGGCGGCGTGGCCACGGCGGGGTGCAGCGGCACGGCGTCGGCGGGGTTGGGCGGCAGCCCCGCCGAGTCGCGCTGCCCGTCCTTGCGCAGCGACCGGAAGGCCAGGTCGTCCTTGACCACGTCGGGCGTGCGGCGCGGCTTGAACCGGGGCCGGTAGCGGTCCTGCGGCGTGGCGTGCAGGTAGTCGCTGTTGGGCGACGGCGCCACGGGGCCCAGGGGGATGCCGAAGGGCGGCTGGTGCTCGGCCACGCGCAGCGTGCTGTTGGCCTGACGCACGTTGCGGTACACCACGTCGTCCAGGGTCACGTCGGGCTCCGGCTCGGGGGACAGCGACATGGACGTGGCGGCGCGGGGCGACAGCGGCGACTGCGGCGCGGACAGCGCGGTGGACACGAGGAGGTAGCTGCCCGCCTGCGAGACGATGCTGCGCGAGTCCTGCTGCGAGGGCGGCCGCTCGGCCTGCCGCAGCCTGCGGTACGCCATGTCGTCCGCCACCTTGTCCGGCACGCCGCGCACCTTGCCCGCGCGCTCGCGGCCCAGCTTGGGGGACGCTGGCGTCGACACAGGCGGCTCGGCGTCGTCCTCCAAGGAGGACGTCCTCTGGTACGTGACGTACTGCGGACCGCGCGGCAGGTCTCTGCGCTCGGCGCGGTCCAGGAGATCCTCATCACCCAGACGCAGGCTGTTGTAGATGGCCTCCAGCTCGCTCAGGGCATCATCCAGGTTGGTGGACTTCCTCTCCTTGTCGACGATCCGCATCATCTCTTCGTCGTCCACGCCCGAGCTGGACTCTTCCTTCTGGGCGTCCTTGTACTGCACCTGCACGATGGGCTTGACCAGCAAGCCCCGCGGCGCGTCGCTGTCCCGCCTGGCCGAGACGCCGCTTGGTACTGACGTGGCCGACGGGGCGGCCGGGGCGGCCGGGGTGGCCGTTGGCGCCGTCCGGGCCGTCGCCGCCGTCCTGGCGGCCCTGGGGAGCTGCGGGCTGGACACGTCCGAGCTGAGTGAGCTGACCGAGTCAGCGCGGCGTGGCCTCATCCGCCTGGACGGCGGCGACATGGGCATGTCCTGGCGGTCCTGGCCGCGCGTGGGGCTGTACGAGTTGGAGGGGAAGTACTTGGCGGCGTTGGCCGGGGGCCGCGGCGACAGCGGCCGACTCCTCCCCCGTCGCGACGGCGGACTCATGGGCGCCGCCAGCGCCACGCCCGAGGCGGCGACGCCGGCGACGGCCGGGGCTGGTGCGGGCGCCGCTGCTGGCTTGTCGGCCGGCGACGCGATGTGGATGGGCTTCCGGCTGCGGGGGGCCTGCTCCGCGTAGTACGTGTAGTTCTGGGGCGTTGGTTGCTGCTGCTGCGCGGGCTGCGCCGCGGGGGGCTGACGTGACTAGACTGGGGCTCCCGCACGTGGTAGTAGCGCTGCGGGTAGTGCTGCTGCTGAGGTTGGTAGGCTTGGACTGGGTCCGGGTGCCGCTCATGCCGCTGGTACGAGTGGAAGGCCGAACCCTCGTTCTGCAGGTGGTGGTGGGGCGCGTACGCCCGGGGCTGGGGCGCCGCTTGTGGCTGGGGCGAGTGCTCTGGCTGGTGATACTGCTGCTGATTGTAGTGGTTGCTGAGGCTGTGTCGACTGCCCGTCTCGAAGGCGTACGACATGGGCCGGCCCACGTCGAGCTGCGAGGTCGTCATGTACCTCCGTTGGGGGTCTCTCGGAGGCGGCGGCGGCGGCTCACCCTGCTGCTGCATGAGCGGTTGCTGAGGCTGCTGCTGGAGCTGCTGTGGGGGCTGCTGCCTCGCGAAGGCTGAGAAGCGCGACGGGCTGACGCTTCCGCCCCGAGAGAGTCCGGTCGGCGCGGCGGGCAGGGGAAGTGCCTGCATCCGGGCCACCGGGAACTGCACCACCATCACGTCGCTGTTGTCCATGTTGCAATCGTAGCTCACGCTGCGGCCGTTGGCCTGCTGGCGCGCCACGCCCGCCGCCGCGCTCCGGAGGGACTGCGAGGCGGGCAGCCCGGGCAGCCCGGCGATGTTGGCGGGGTCCAGGCGCGGGTCTTGCAGGTGCGCGGCGTTCCTAGGTCTGCTGGGCGGGCTGGTCACGGGGCTGGAGTTGGCGGACATGGACAACGTCTTGGGCCACTTGGGTACGGCCTGGCCGCCGGCCTGCACCATGCCGTCCTCGTCCTTGGACAGGCGGCGGAGGTACCTCTCCGTGCGCGCCGTCCTGGACCTCCTGCTCAGAGAGTCCTTGTTGCTGGGCAGGCTGTCGTCGCTGCGGAACCTGGACAGCGAGGAGCTGTTGGAGTGCAGAGAGCCGCCCTCGCCCTCCGAGCTGGAGTCGCCCCCCGCGGCGTGGCGCCGCATCTCGGCGCGCTGCTTGGCCAGGTCGCGCTTCCCCCGACGAATGATGCCGTCCAGGGACCCCGACGCCCCCGACGCGCCGGAGTGGCCGGCTGAGCCCTGCCCGGAGCCCACGCCCGAGCCCACGCCCGAGCCCACGCTGCTGCCCTTGGAGTCCTGGCGGCGGTGGCGGCCATGCAGCTGCGGGGGCTGCAGGAGGTGGTGCGGCGGCGACGAGGGCGACACCCACCCCCGGTGTCGGTCCTGCTGCAGGTTCAGGGCCTTGGGGAAGCTGCCGCCGAACTGGCCGCTGTCTAGAGGGCTGCCCGCCATGCCGGGCATGTGCAGGTTGGGGTGGATGAGGTAGCCGTTGACGTGCTCCGCCTTGGTGGGGCTGTACGGCTGCGACAGGGGCTGCGCCAACGGCGTCACCACGACGTGGTCGAACGCCCCCGAGACCCGGGCGTTGGTGCGTGTCTTCCTCTTGCTGTTATTGTTATTATTGTTCGTGCTTCCGTCCCGCCTCCGGCGCAGGAAGTTGTTGCTGCTGATTCCGTTGTTGGTCTTCCTGGCGGAGGGTGGCGTGGCCAGCTCCTCCTCCTCCAGCGAGCTCGAGGAGTCCGACTTTCGGCGGCGTCGGAACAGTCCGCCGATGGAGCCGCCCAGGGAGCCGCTGAGCGCGCCCCCGAGCCCCAGGTTGCCCAGGTTGCCCAGGGCGCCCAGCGACCACTTCTTCTTCGAGTCCTTGGCGTCCTTGCTCGGCGTCCCTGGCGGCGTAGCATCTGGCTGGCGCTTGCCGGGCGGCGTCGGGAAGGGGTGCTGCCAGGCGGCGTGCTGGCCGTGCTGGCCCGCGGCGTGGCGGCCGAGGTGCCCGGGGCTCTGCGGCGAGGCGCCAGGCCCGGGCCCCGGGCCGTGCGGGCGCTCCATCGGTGCGCCGGACAGCGACAGCGGGCGTCGCGGCGCCGCGCTCACGGTCTGCAACGAGCGGAACAAGCAATTCGTTAACGCATGTCGGCATTTGTCTGCATTCGCCTGCATTCGCCGCGCCGACGGCCAGGCTACGCTGGCTACGCTGGCAGCGCCTCTCACTGGGTCATTCATTCCGTATGCACTCTGCTTATACAACCGGTGGGCATCCTCGCCGCCCCGCCCCGCCCCGCCCCGCCTCGTGGACATCGCCGGTTGGGAAAGCAACAGCGACAAGTGGAGCAGCGGGCGGCACGCGAGGACGCGAGGGGCATTGGCGTTGCCCTCGCGTGGCCTGCTGGGGACAGACGGGACTGACCTGGACTGACCCGCCACTGCCCCGAGAGCACTAGGCGCTACCACAGTGTCAATGTTGTAAAATATTGAATTTTCACTGACTTACAATATCGATTACAGTATCAAATTATTGATATTGGTAATAAATTGTATATTTTTGATTACTGAATATCAAACGTACCACCCCTCGAAAGTGGTAATTTTAACGACCCTGGGTTTTGGGTGCAGCGCCAGGCAGCGCTACACTGGCAGTGACTCACACTCACGCACTCACACACACACAGAGGTCGCACACCACTTTACGGCCTCTAACGCGTTGGAGAGCGAATTGGGATTGGGAGGCGCAGCACTCCGCCCGTCCACTTTCCATTTCGGCCAGCAGGGCCAGCACGGCCAGCACGGCCACTGGGCCGCGAGTGGGCCGGCAGTGGCGTGGCAGTACTGCGTGGCCCGCCAGTCGCGGCCCGCCAACTTCAATCATCTGAAACGAGGCCCATCTCCACCCATCTGCGCCTGCCCCAGCCAGGCCGCGGCCCGCGGCCCCCCGCTGCCAAGCCGCGCCGCGCCGCCGTACAGTAGTGTGGCGTGTCTGCAGTGGCGTGGTCAAGGCTGGGCACGCCGGGTTCAACTCGCCGTCCATCGGGCCGCACCTTGCCTTGCAGCTTGCAGCTTGCAGCTCCACTGGCCGGGAACGAACAATCGACTGCCATTCCGTTTTACTGCGGGGACGCGACGCGACGCGACGCGATGCGAGGGCCATGACGCGTGCCTTCACGTCGTCGGCGTGCACCGCCGAGGCGCCTCCGCGCCGCCAGGGCCCCGGCGGCAGGGCCCTCCGCCTTCGAGTCCCTCTCGTTGCGAGTTCGGCGGCGTATGCGCCAGTCGGGTGCACTAACAGCTAACGGCTCGGACTGGCCTCCCGAGTGATTCCGAGAGTCGTGTTCGGCGCTCTCTCTCGCACATATGGGGCGTGGCGTAGAGGTGCGGGAGAGACAGAGCGACGAAAATGACTCTCGGAATGACCATGCAGGCCAAGCGCCAGGTCGAGGGCCTGCTTGGCCACCGGCAGCAGGCGCGCCTTGGACGCGCCGCGCGACATGCCACGCACGTCCCCCATGGCTGGAGCCACACGCACACACGCAGGGTTCACGTTCACGACGGCCACAGTAGCAGCGGAGCAGCCCCATCGGTATTCCTTGAACTCTCGCCGCTCTGGGTCCCGCGGCCCTTTCGGAAGGAGGCCTGAATACAGTAGTACTACAATGGCAGTGCACGGCGAGACGCCGAAAAACGTTTAGTTGTAGGAAGTCGTGGTGCTATTCTGGCCCGCCCTCTCTCCATCGCCGCGGACTTGTGCTCGTTTGACCGAATGTGCGCCGACACCTATCGCGCTGGTCAGTTCTCGTTAGGTTTCCTCCAAGGCCACCGCGCCTCCGGCCGCGCCGCCCAGAGGTCGGGGAGCAACGGGACGACGGCGTGGTCCGTGCCGGCCCGTGCGGGACGGGACCGACGGGCCGACGGGACGCCAACCACCCGGAGCACCGCGTGTCCTTCGGTGTCCTTCGGGCTGGAGTCCAGCCGCTGGACCGCAGGGCCGGACGGCCTAACCAGATAACCTAGAGCACCGCCCGTGTGAGGCCTGGCCGGCACAACACGTCTAGCAGGCTGGCTTGGCACGCCCGCGCCGCGCCGCACTCAGCCCGAACCAAATTTTAGTTATTACTCGGCGCCAAAGGATAAGGACACATCCCGCTAGCCTTGGCGCCGCGCCGCGCCTCGCGTCATCGGAAATGCCAGGCAGACTCGTTGAGCCAGCCCCGCCCGATTCGTTCGGTTCGTTCGGTTTGCATTGTCCTAAGCCTCACGGGACTCACGCATCACCGAGCCGTACTAATGCAACAGGCACTCCAGAGCCACGCGCGGAGCGCGGCCAACATAGCGCACGCGCAAAGTTTGCGGAGCCACGGGCCGCGCTTGGATGAGGGGGAGGGAGAGGAGGAGGGAGAGGAGGAGGGAGAGGAGGAGGGAGAGGAGGGGGGCATAACAGCACCACGAAACGAACGCCGCGCATCGCGCGATACTGCGCACAATTTATTTAATAACTCTCTGCCTGGAGAAAAAAATAAGTGAAGACCACGGCGACGACGGATGGAATTCCAGCTGGCATTTGGCAATAAGCCACACGCCATAAAGCAAGCCATTCCGGATTGTCATTTTTTTCCCTCTGCGTCACTGTGTCATATCGTGAGGCCGGCCCGGCCCGGCCCGGCCCGCCTCTCTGCGCTACGTCTTCCAAACACTAGAATTCGGCGTTCCAACTGCCACCGCGTTTCGCCGTCTCGCAGTTTCCAGCGCCGTGGAGATAAATCAGCCGGGGGCGCTAATGGCAACTACGCGAAGGCCCGATCGGGATTCCGGCTGTTTATAATTTTACTCCACGGACCGCCAGTCGGCAGGCGAGCCACGCAGTCGCGCCCGGCGGCGCGGAATCGATTGCCGAGACAAGACGGACAGTGATAGCGAGATATCGAATGGCTCGACCTTCGGCACCTCACCTCGCTACGCCAGCTACGCACCGCGCGGCACGCGCACAGCGAGCCGCTTCCCCCATTGTCTGCTCAGCGAAGCGCACCAGGCTCAAATCAGCCGGCTGATTTCAACCCTTAATGCGTCGATCACGGAAATTCCCCCCAGCCGAGGCTGAGTCCGAGACCTGGGAGGCCACATAGGCCCGCCCCAGGCCCGCGCAACCGCCACGGGCCCGGGAAGGGAAGTCCTCGAAGAACCCTCGAAGGCCCTCGAAAGGCCACAGAGTTCGTCGTGGCGAAGGGGAGCGCGCGGACCACCCAGAAGGTTCAAGGTAATCACGGGGCCGAACGCGCTGGCCCGCCACTAACACATCATAATCACCGTTGTGTCCGCCACGCCCCACCGCGCCCCGCCCCGCCCCGCCCCGCCCCGCTGCGTGGATCGCTGATGACACCAGGGGGCGGTGCTGCGGTGCTGCGGTGCCTCGCGGGTGGCTGCAAAACCGCGCGCCGGCGCCTCCCTTCCCTCATTACTCGCCAATCAAGAAAGCAACGACGCGAAGCAGCAGCAACAGCAACAACAACATCAACAACAACAGATCGTGGCTGAGAGAGCAGTTTTGACAAGACGCGCGCGCCTGGCGCCCGGCCCGACACGGCCCGCGGCGCGCGAGGGCAGGGCAGGACAGGAACTGCTCGGAGGAGATAAGATTAGGCGTCCCCTCGGCATCCTAGCCGAGCCTGGCCCTCGGCCTGGCCCGGTCGGCCGGCCGGCAGAAGGAGAGCAGGATCGTTAATGAGCGCAGGCACCGCGGGCACCGCGGGCACCGCAGCACTGCCGAGCGTGTCACCTTAACGGTGCACTGCTAGCCCTGCTGCCCCACTCAAGGGAGTGTCTACACTGGAGGCTAGGGTCAGGGTGTTGTGTGTGTTTTGCTGTGTGAGTGTGGAAGGGGCCAACAGGCGGAGGCCGCCGAGACAAACACTGCAAAGCGGGCCTAGGCCGGCCTGGGCAGCCTCACCCAGGTCCAGGCCGTCCAACACTAATCCTTGCGCGGCCGGTTTCGTGCCAAACGAGGCGTCACGGGTCCGCCTGCACGGCCTGCACTGCCTGCACGAGGGTGCAAGCAGCGCATTGCGCCACCACTGCGATCCCACCCGGCCGGCCAGCACCGGCGAGGCCTGGCCCACGTGTTGCCAAGCGTCCACGACGCCGATTTTGCTTCCATTTCCATTTTTTCTTTAAATTTGCTTATGCCCCACGCGCGAAGCAACGCTCGACCAACCCGATCCACCTCGCCAGCTGTATTTGTTTCCGAATATTTCTGCCGTGGCGTGACCCCGTGTGGGGTAGCGGCGAGCGAGGATTCGGCATTCGGCACACAGATATGTTGACGGACTCTGATTGTGCCCGTTCGTCTGTTTTGTTTGTGTCTGCATCTCTGTGTGTGCATGTCTCTCTCTCTCTGCGTGCGTGAGTGTGCATGTGTGTATTCGACCTTGAAACGGTGTGGGATCAACAGCGCCAGTGGGCTCACGACAGCACACTCACGCACGCCCGGCCTTGAGACCCCGAGACACTCTCGGAGCCATACGAAAGGAAGGGCGAGTGCAGTGAGGAAGCGGGCCGGACGCCAACCCACCAGGGCAAGGCCCCATCAGGGCCCCACCAGGGCCCCACCGGGGCCCCTCCGGGCCTCAGGAAGCGCAAGGGCCGTCCGGGCAGAGCGGCCAGAGCCACGCCTTTCCATGAAGGGATCCAAATTCCTGGAAAGGAATTTACGCTGTCGCTGCACGCGCTGTCGCTATCGCGGACACTGCCGCGCACAGTGCACTAGTGCCGCCGGCGACAGCGCGCCAGCCAGCCAGCGACTGTGTTCCGGTGCGGCGGCCGCGCCAGCCGCGCCAGCCGCGGCCCCGACGGCGCAAAACAAGCAAGCGCTTCTTCGCGAGCAGCCCAGGCCAGCCAGGCAGCGCCGCCGCGCCGCCGCGCCACATGCGAGCGAGTGTACTGCCGGTAGTTGTCACCGCAGGCAC